CAAATTGGGAGTACTAATTGTTTACAGAAAATTTGATTTTTGTGAATTTATAAATTTTCTGAGAGATTAACTCCCCTCACACACGTATTTTCGCTTTTTCTTTTTCATCAGTCAGTATTATAGCTGGTGCATACAAAAAGGAGAAAGGAAAGAAGGAAAGAGGAAAGAAGGAAGGAAGAAGGAAAGAGTAGGAAAGAAGAAAAGAAGGAAGGAATAAGAAAAGAAGGAAGGAAGGAAAGAAGAAAGAAGGAGTGATTGAAGAGACAGTTTGTAAGATTTGAGATCTGAGTGGCTCCTAAGAGTCTTGAAACTGATTTCCTGCCTCAAAGAGAGATTTCACTGATGAGTGAAGATTTTTGAGGTGCTAGGCTGATAAAGACGGCGGTTGGCCATCAGGGAATTAAGAAAAAACTTGAATTGCCTCACTGGTCCAATTACTAGGGACTGGTCAGGTTGATATCTGTTGTTGTAAGATATTAAGATGTGTTACATTTATTTATGCTGTGGAATATTTGTTTAATGATGCAAGGATGTGTTGCATTCTTTTATGTTGCATTCACTTACTTAACTCTGTGAAGCTGTGTTACTTTGCCTGTCTAAAACACCTGATTGGTCTAAAAATGAGCTGAACAGCAAGGCAGGAAAGGAGATAGGTGGAGCTGGCAAGCAGAAAGAATAAGTAGGAGGAGAAATATGGGAGGAGAAGATCTAGGAGCAATAGAAAGAGGAAGATTCCAGGGGCCAGCCCCTCAGCTACACAACAAGCCATGAAGTAAGATGTAATATATGATATATGATAAAGATAAAAGCTCAGACACAAAAAGAAGATGAGCTAATTTAAGTTAAGAAAAGCTAGCTAGAAACAAGCCAAGCTAAGTCTGGGCATTCATAAAAAGAAAAAAACATCCATGTATGTGATCTATTTGACAGATGGGTAGCAGGTCTGTGATGGCCAAAAGAGCAAAGAGCCAAAAATGGAAAACAGAAAAAGAAAACAACAAACAACAATCCATGGACAGGCGAGTTAATTATTAGCTTTTTTCTTTCTTCCTTACTGAAGAAAGAAAGAAATTTGGTGAGAAGGGATGAGATAATTATTATAGAAGAATAGGAGATCCAGGAATTTCCAGTTGTGTTTTAATATTTGCAAGTTATGATACATCTTTTGAAAAATTTAACTTAAAAATTGTTTATAGATATAATGACTATTTCTGCTACATTTTTACATCTGTTCTCAAAAAGTCGACTGGATCTGAGATTTATATATAAGAGTTGTACCCAGTACAGGGGATATAAGAATCCTATAGTTCTGGTGAATAAACCACTTTGAATATGTAGTGCTGATGTCAGTTTACTTGGAGACAGGGAAGAGAAAATCAGACATGTAGTGAAAAGCCAGGCATTAAATAGTTAAAATAAAATCCAGTGCTATGAACACTAAGTCTAGGAAGGCTGAACGTGGAAATGATCACTGCCCTCAGATATCTGAAAGACTCATTGTGAAAGGCAAGGCAGAATGTCCTGGCTGTGAATGGATGTTCAAGGCAGGAATGTTTAAGTCCGTCAATAGAAGAAGGAAGTTTCGCACAGCCAAGTGTTCATCATCATGAAGGCTTTGCACAGATGTCCAAAATTCCTTTTGTCTGGAATGCCATCAGAAGATTCCTGAAGGCAGAGGAGTGTACTCCTGGCACTTTCCGTTTGAGGATGATATGATATGTGGAGCAGGCAGTGCAAGTGATATCACCAAATTCCGGGAAATCCCTGAGTGTTCTGTGTCCTTAGCTTATTGAATCTGACTGAAGCATGCTCACTAGTTGCCCGTATTTTCTAAATCAGGATAAACCGCAGACTTCACAGTGATGGCAAACTGTCCAGTCGAGTTTTAACTCAGGCCTACTGCTTTAAGATTGTACTTTGCACCACACACTGTTTCCCTCACAGACTCTTCCAGCAATAAAGAACAAATCCTTTTTGTGAGAAAGGATTTCAAAATATACAGATAATCCTAACGTACTGGCCAATGGCCAGGAAAGGCACACTGGAATATTTTACCCGTGACTCACATTTTTGTTTTCTGTAGAAACTTAAGACATGAATCATGTAGCTCACACAATAGCCACTTATCTATTTCCTCGAATCATTTCACCTGGTTTTGTTTAATGTGGCGATTAATTTTATATGTTAGCTTGATTTGGTCAGGTGCTTAGATATTTGGTCAGATATTATTTTGGTTGTGCCTTGAGGATGAGATTAACATTTAAATCAGTTTTCTTTGCATGGCATCATCTAGATTTATCTGTTTTCCAAACGGAAGATTTTCCTTATTTTACCTATTGTGGTATGTGTGTGTATATGTGAACGTATGTACGCATATGAGTGTGTGTTACATTTTCCTTATTGTTGTGGTGTGAATGGAAATGGCCCCCATATGTCACATGGGGAGAGTTGCTATTGAGAGGCGTGGCTTCGTCGGGAGTAGGGGTAGTCTTGTTGGGGAAAGTGTGTCACAGGGGTGACCTTTGGATTTCCAGAGCATCAAGCCAGGGCCAGTGTCTTTTTCTCTCTTCCTGCTGCCTGTGGATCAGGATATAGAACTCTTAGCTCATTCTCCAGTACCATGTTTGCCAGCATGCTACCATGTTTCCTGCCCTAATGATGATGGACTAAACTTCTGAATGTGTAAATAAGCCCCAATGAAATGATTTCTTTTATGAGTTTCCATGGTCATGGTGTCTCTTTGTAGCAATAGAAACCCTAACTAAGCCAATAATCCATTTATCTTTTGAAGGACAAAGGCGAATGGCATGCAGTTTAATTACATGGAGAACATAACATAGACACTCAAAGAAGTAGAGTAGGATGATGGTTGTCAAAGGTTAGGGATCAGTGAAATGGGGAGCTGTCAATCAAAGGGAACAACATTTCAGTCAGTAGGAATTCCTTCTTCTACCCACACGGAGGATCTGAGGCTGGCCTCAAACTCATTCCATCCTCTTGTCTCAACCTCACACGTGCCGCAGCTCCCATCAGAGTGTTGCTACCTCCACAGCAATAACGACACTATTGCATAAGTCCGCATATCCTGTCTGGAAGGTTGGGCACCCATCAGCAGACATACATGATTGGAGGAGGAATCAGGATGCACTACCACTAACTAACTCCAGAAACACTGCCTCGAATTGCTGATTTGATACTGGTCAGTTAAAGGAGTGGGGAGGCAAAGCTTTTAGTGGTGACTCCCTGAGGCTAAACTAAAGGGGTCACAGAACAAAACAAAAAAGCCTCGAATCTGGCAATGGAAAAAGGACTAGGGTCAATAGGAACGAGAAGGAGAAAAAAGAAGGGAAGAGAATAAGCACTGTCAAAGAGTAAGCAAAATGGAATTCTACGATGGAACACCTCCATGGAAGCGCTTCTCAGTGGCCCCTTTCTTTCCCTGTGAAGCTTTCAGAAGATAATGCAGCTTTAATTCCTGTTTTGATTACAATCTGTGGTAGACACAGAGCTAAGCTGCACCCAGATTCTAGACCCACAAAACTGCGAAATTAAGCTGTTTTGAAAAGTTCTGCATGGAACATTAAATATATCCTTCGGACAGATCTGGTGACACAGAGGCAGATTTGAACTGAGAATCTGTGCGCCTGACTCTCAAAGTCTGGGTCTTTTCTAAACAGTTTGTGCCGACTTTGCCTCCCTGGGTCTCATTGCCCCGCCTGTCTTTCCGAAAGGGTCTCCGATTTTCTTAAACGGAGCAGTTCAAGTCTCTATTAATTCTACCGCCTTTTTTTTTCATTAAAATAAATACTGATAAAAATCACAAGAACACACACTGGCCCAGAAGTAGTCTGGCTTGCTGGCGGCCTTCCAGCTTCCTCTTTCTTTGCCTGTAACTGTCTGTCCTCAAATCCTGTTTTACCTCTTTTCCCCCTACCTACCCTTCTCTCCAGCTAACCAATGAACGTTACTCTGCTTTTATGACATTTGTATGTGTTCCCACACAATGCAAGCAGGACTATTCGCCTCTGAATGTGTATCCAAGTCTGGAAAGGCCATCTCTGACATTCAGTGAATTTACTCTGGCGATGCACAGTGTGAAGGGATTCTCTGGTCTTCTGACTTGACATTACCTAGTGAGTAGCAGGATTTGCATTGGTAAATTAATCCTGCTCAAAAAGAAAAGTTAAAAAAAAAAAAGCAAGCAAATCGCCCCAAGCATACCAAACCCTCCTCTGCTCCCATCCCCTCTCTTTACTTTTCTTCCCCCCCCCCCCTTTTTCCTTTTTCTTTCTTTTAAGGTTAGGGGACACGGAAGGGGGAAGGAGAGAGCTAAGAAGAGAAAAGTAAGGGGAGGCCAGGGGTGCTTGGCTGCAAGCAGAGCAGAAGCCCGCTTGTGCTCCTGTAATCCGAGCTCCTCTTCTTCACCCAGGCTCTGAGGGGTTCGGCGCTCTCAGCAGGCTGGTGACCTCGGGGTCATCTGGGTCCCCTCCACGGAGCTGAGGTTGGCCGTGTGCCAGTCTCCCAACCCCACCGCCCGCGCCGGTCCCGCCCCGCGTGGCGACTTCTCCCTTTCCCTCTGCCCTCGGGTGGCCGGCCCAGGGTGGGGCAAGTGAGCTTTCAGGACTGTCCTCTGCCTTCGGATCGCCTGGAGCCAGGGCCACCGCGGAGAGGCAGCGCGGAGCCGCACCTGAGCCCCGGGGTAAACGGAGGCTGACCAGAGCCTCGCCACAGGCTCTGGACTCTGCGGGTCGCACCGTTCCAGCTCGGCAGGCTTGAATCGCCGTCCACCCGGCTCGACTCCCCGGAGCCCTTGGCCCCAAGTATTGGGAAAGTTCTGCGCCGGGCGGAACCTGCCGCCGTCGGCCGCGCCCCTACGCGCGGAACCCGCGCTCTTGAACTCCGCCGCGCGCGCCCGGGGTCCACCTTGCGCCGCCCCGCGCGCAGGCGAGGAGCAGCTGCCGGGAAACCCTATGAACTCTCCAGAAAGGGCGTGACGAAGGGTCCTGCGGGGCGCGGTCCCGGCCGTCCCGGTCCCCACTTCGGTGGAGCTCGCAGGCAGTAGAGAGCAGAGAGGTGAAGGAGAAGGATGAGCGTGTAGCCTCTGGGGACCTCTGCGCAGTAATGCCAGCATGTAAGTCGCCTCCCAGCTCGGACCCCTTTGCACCTCCGTCTATGTCCGCTTTCTCCCCCTCAGCTCAGCGGTTCCTTGAAAGGTACCAACTGCGGGAACTGAAGCTTCAGGGTGCTTCTCCAGGCACCAGGGACTGGATATTAGCAAATGCGGCTGGTGTGTGTGTGTGTGTGGCTTGTTTGGTTTCTCCCTTTCTCCCCTAAAGAGAGGTAAACTTCACTCTTCACTTCGAGGCCTTGTAAAGCAGCAGCAGAAGGGCAGGGCTTCAAGTTTGGGGAGAACGTGGTTTTTGGTTCAAATTAAACAAGAACTAACCGACGGTGCAGCTGCTTGCACAGCCCTGGCTCTACGGAGCCAGCGCTCCCTGGATCAACACCTGGGGCCTGGGAAGGTACTGCTGAGCGGGGCAGATGTTGGCTTTGCGCTGTCACCTTTGCTTGTAGAAGTCCTTCTGAGATCTCTATGATATTTAAATGACTTTTTCCTCATTGCGACCTCTCCAGCCCTGGATCTTTTTCTTTGGAAATCTCAGAAAAGTTGTCTCAATGTACTACGTAGATAAAAAAAAGTAATTAAGGGACGTGATAAGGGCTTCCTGTAAAATTACAAGTAGGAGGCATGGGGGAGAGGGTGAGATAGTCTGGAAAAGCTACCCCAAGTTTTGCTTGGATGGAATTGCCACCCAAGCTGTGAAGTGCTCCGAGGCACCCTAGGAAAGAGCGGCCATGCGCACTGCCTGGCCTTCCAAACTGGACAATGGTTCTCACAAGGGCCACACTTATCTTTGCGGCCAACTTAGCGGTTATTTTGTTTGTTCTCATGGTGTGTAATTTTACCCTCTGCCGTTTTATTTATTTTTGGGCAGACACCTGACAGACTTTTTACCCACTTCCACTAACTTGTTCAGGAGTTACAGAAATTGATACTTCCCTCGTTCCACCACTCCGTCCTTACTTATTTCCACTTCTATTTCCTTTTCCAAGTTAGCACTCAGCCAGGGTCTTGGGTCTTTTTGCCCTCTTCGTTGCTGTGTCTCGCTCGGCAACCCCAAACACATTAAAAGGTGGGCGATGCAACAGAGCACGCCAGCTTCACCCTCCACGCTGCAGCTCTGATCTTGGCACTGTGCCCTGTAATAAATATCACTTATTTTTGCTAAAACTCCATGTGAAGAAATGCCACACCTGTGAGTTTTATAGAGTTGCTTATGGCAGTGGAATAGGCAAATGGATACTTTGTAAGCATTTCTTTTGGGATACAGCCAGCCATCTACCATAAGAGTCGTTCCCCTACGCAGGCAACAGGTTTGAAACGACTGTTAAGTTCGTTTCCAACTTCAGTTTTCCTGAAAACATACCCCAGTTCTTCACAGGAGATATTTAGGCAGTTTTCTTTCAGCCTCCCTGGACATCTAGAGTTCATGGAATTAAAAGCAACACACACACACACACACACACACACACGGCCATGTAAGGCATGCACGCGCATGCGTGTGCGTGCACACACGTTCTCTCATTTTCTCTCTCTCTCTCTCTCTCTCTCTCTCTCTCTCTTTCACATACACACACACACACACACACACACACACACACACACACACACACACGTGCGCGACCGCACGCGAATACGATTACCTAAAAGTTGTGAAACTCATCAACAGGTAATGTAAATTTTTCTTGATAATGCAATTAAATTAGTTAATCCATTTGAATTCGGTGTGAGTAAATTTATGACTTCTCAGGGTAGAATCACGAATAAGCAGTCATCAAAGGCTTTTAAGATTGATTTAAATTTCTTTACCAAATTCTTTTGATGGATTTTTTTTTCTGTGTCTTTCAAGAGCATTATGCATATTTTCTGGTTTGAGATGTTTTAATCCATTTTGGCTGATGGACAAGTTAGAAAACATGGAGATAGGGCCAATCTACCCAAGGTAAATATTCCTATTATTTTATTGAAAATATTGAAATGGTAAATTAAACTATATTTTCAAATTTTAATTGCAGTAAGTAAAAATACACAGGCTTCTTGAATGTCTTGGTCACATCTTCCTTGTGGAGAACAACTTTATATATTGCTACACTCAGATTTTGGAATTATAGACTTTATGAATATATTTAGGAGTTGCACCAACTGCATGTTTTGCATGCTCCAAAAAATTAAGTAGATTTTGCAAGGCTGGCTTTTATTGGTCTCACAGTGCATGAAACTACTGTTCCATTTATGGCTTATATAAGTTACATGTCATTGTGCCTGTCCGATGTGAATGGTGAATGAGGCTATTGTCTGTTTGCTTATGGGAAATATTGGAAGTTCAGGGTTGTTACTGGCTGACTGAAGTGTCACTCGGATTTCTGGAAATAATGATTTGAGAGAAATCTCATTTATATATTAGAAAATAAACCGATGATAATGTCTTCCGACACAGTCATGCTTCTAACTGTTCACATGTCATATAGAATTTACATTTCTGATGAAAGGAGTAGAAGTTTCTAGAGACTATCTAGTACTTAGACTAAATAAAAAGTGTGTGTAGTGTTTGTGACCAGACGTATATTTCCATGTTTATTCCTAGTTGGATGACAACATTACCTCATCCATGCTAGTTGACATCAAGAGGCATACTGCTTGGTGGAAATGATAATGTTTAAAGGATGCATGAACTCAAACTAAGAATTCCAATTTAATGAGTAGGGCTACCTGGAATCATCTTACCTCCCTTTTACTCAGAGGGCAATTCTTAGGAATGTCTTTCTTGATTATTTAAAAGATGGCAGACAAAATGAAAGCTTACATGTTTGTGATAAAATTGGTTAAAAAACACAATCAGAAAGAAAAATATTTATACTATAATTGAAAAGTATGTATATGACTTAGTCCTGCCAATCCAAATAAAGGAAATCCAAGAGAGACACTTCTGTCAACTGACAGAGATCAAAGCAATGGCACTCACCAGCAGGGGTCACGGCGCGGACTTGCCCCAGTGGATAATGGGAGTAATTTAATTTTTAAAAAGATAATTGTAAGCCTACAAGAAGTTTCAAACAGAAAATACAAAATAGGCTGGAGAGATGGCCCAGCCCTGAGGGACCTTAATGCTCTTGAGAGGTCAGGAGTTCAGTTCCTAGTCCTCAGTTAGATGGGCAACTCATAATCACCTATAATTGCAGCTCTAGGGATCCAGCACCCTCTTCTGGCCTCCAAAGGCATCTACACACAGGTGCTTACACACATAAACACATACATACACACATATAAAATATAAAGCAAATCTCTAAAAATGCAAAGAACAACTGAATATCCTTTTTCAATATTCGTATATTCTAAATGCTAGCCTTATTTGTTTGATCCTTCCATTTGGACCCCCCCCCCCAAGTCTGTCTTTCTAGAATCTTCTGAAACTTAGCCTGTATCAAGGCTTAGAGGTTTTACTTTTTATGAAAAATTAAAGATAAATGCAGATACTGCTATAGTTGTAAACAATTTAATACGACAATATCACATATATCCTTTGGCTAAGTTTTCATTAAGAACATTTTACACAACTATGGAGCAGAATGAAAATAGGATGTTGATAAATTACAGCTCTCCCTCACTCTCTCTCTCTTTCCCCCAGTTTATCTAGTGCCTATTTGTGCATGCACTCATGTGTTTGCACCTCTGCGTACCTCTCTCTCTCTCTCTCTCTCTCTCTCTCTCTCTCTCTCTCTCTGTGTGTGTGTGTGTGTGTGTGTGTAGGATACATTTGTCTAAGTTTTCACGTTGGCTTTATGCTATGAATCAGTCATGCATATCCTTGTTCAAATGAGACAAGCTTTGTGAAGACCTGAAGAGTAAGTGAGATTTTTGTAGAGGGGGAATCCAACCTTATGAAAGGGTCTTAGTTCAGTAATAGAATAGCACACTCTTTTTTTTCTTAGTCTTGGGACTATGACCTTTCACTGAAAGAAGAAACGCTGTTATGAGCAGGCTCAAATATGCTAAATCACTGTTCATTTTATCCTGCTAGATCTCAAGGTGTTCTCTGCCACTTCCAAACCTTTTTATGAAAAGATTTGTCATAGACACATAGTAAAAATATGGCCAAGGAATTTAATTCTGACTATTGATATTAGTAGAACTAACATCCTGACAATTTCTGTATTAATTTCAAAATGTCTTCACTAGCGTCACTTAAAATTGTGTCTTTGTGTGAAACACTGAAAGTAGCAGTAAATGGTAGATTTTGAAAATCTTTTGCTCAGTTTAAAGTCATGCCTGCTAGTGCTTATTCATCTAGCTGAAATGATTCCTGTGAAATGTTTTTGTTCTCCAAAACTTTTGGAAATGGGGCTCAAGTGTATTGTATTTTGTAGCCTATTGTTTTGGTGTAGGATAGCAGCAGAGGTAGGACACAAAGGGTTTGGATCTTACTACTGATTCTGAAAGCTGGGCAAATAGTTTAATCTTTAATTTTCTTACCTGAGGGATAATAAGTTTATTTGCAGAATGAAAAGGATTCTCTTCAAATTATATAAGGCTATGACTCTACGTTCCTTTAACACATGTTTCTTGGGGCCTGGAGAGATGACTCCATTGTTAAGAGCACTTGCTGCTTTTCCAGAGAACCAGAGTCCAATCCCATCATCCACATCACATGGCTCACAACCACCTATAACCCCAGTTCCAGGGCATCCAACACACACCCTCTTCTGACCTCCATGGGTGCCCATATGGACCTGGCATATACACACAAAGACAGAAACCCATAAAAATAAAAGTAAATCTTGAAAAAAAAAGTTTCTGTTCTTGTTCAAATTCTTAGACCTCAATGAAGCCTGTACCAAGTTGAAGTTCCTGTTTAGAACCTTAGTAACCCTGCTTGGGATTTTCCATTCTTCTGAGAAAGTTGTTTAAATTTCAGGGATGTATCTTTGCTAAGTGATCCCCTGAAAAGAACCATAGTGCTTTCCTTCCCCTGTTCTAAATTTATTTGTTTCTGTTCTTCAGTAAACAGTAAAGTAGATGAAAGTTGGCTTGTCACATGGTTTATGTTATGTTACAAGTGTTTTCTCTGTCCTGGCTCCTTTTGTGTCTAAAGTGAGGGAGTCCTGGAATGTGTCAAGCCCTGGTCTTCATTTGCAGCTATTGCTTGATAGGATTGCAGGCAGCTTTGGTAAAAACAGTTCAAGGATCAGAGTCCTTTATGAATTTCACAGAAGAAACTGAGGTTCAACAAAATGAAAAAGAACACACAGAGCTGACTACCACCAGCCTTTCTAAGAGTTATGACACCCTTTTAGCCTCTTACTCTATGTGTCATAGAGAGATTCTCCTCCATCAATATATGAGCAATGTTCCCTCTCATAGCCAGCATGAATAAGTATATTCATAAAGGATATAGAATCCCTAAATGTGAGAGCCCTTTATAATAAAGGAGAATTTGCGTGGAAAATAAACAGTGCTTGGTATCTAGGCTAAGGAATGTGCTTCTGTTTGAGAGAATATATGAATTTAAGAGAGGGAACATTGCTCATATATTGATGGAGGAGAATCTCTCTATGACACAGAGTAAGAAGCTAAAAGGGTCACATAACTCGTAGAAAGGCTGGTGGTAGTCAGCTCTGTGTGTTCCTTTTCATATTGTTGAACCTCAGTTTCTTCTGTAAAATTCATAAGCTGAACATCATCTTTTGGACTTCTGGTTCTCTAAACATCTTTGAATTTGTAATTGTTCTTTTGTTTTAGAAGCACAGCCGATTCATCCCCAGAATGAATGAGAAACACCTCATTCTTGCAACATCCATAGGAAACAGGCCCGTTCTTCCAAATAAGTGCCCTTTCTCTGGGACAGACTACATAGTTTGTGGAATCCCCTACTGACAGAGCTAGAGGTAACAGTTCTTTCTAGGCTGTAGTAGCTCACTTACAGAAGAGTGACAAGGCTCATCGTTTTAAGTATCCCCCCTCAAAGTGATCATCCCCCAAATCAAACAGTCAACAGAGGAACCTTAATAAGCCCTTGCCAATCCAGAGTCCATAGCAATTAGTATTAGTGTTTTTATTGACTCAAACCTGTTCCTCTTAATCGGTAACGACTTTTACCTTCAAATATATTGGATGACAATATCTGAAAACATGTTTTGCCTACAAAAAAAAATTCCTCTTCAGGTCTTACTCTTGTCTTAGTTTAGAAATTCCAAATGTACAGCTAGCTACCTGTAGCTGGAACTTGTAGAATGTGGAGTAAGTACAAGATTGTGATGTGAACTTCAGGCACTACGTAAAATGTATTCTTTCATAGCCAGCATGAATAAGTATATTCAGGTGATGCTTGAGGTGGCTCTAGGGTCCCTTGATGGATGTTGGCATAGATAAATGGGGCCTATCATTTGCTATTGTTTAAGTGTCTTCCTTTTCTTATCCACTGGGTAGAACAAACACTGCCATTAGCATGCCTGGCTCGACAGTAATTATAATAACAGCTGTTATTTACGGAATGCTTGGGAGATATCAGGTACTGATTTTTGAAGACATCATCTTATTTTGAAGGTATTCATCAGTGGGTCTGTGGTCTAGGTGCCCTGCTGTTCTTTACAAGTGACACACAGATACAAGAGGTCACATAAAATTTTGGGATTGCATAGGTCTTAGATAGCAAACCCAGACCTCTTTTACTGTAACCCATGTTTCCTTTCATACAACTTACAAAAAAAAATGATTCTAAATGTATTCTTAAGGCAAGTATGGGAATCCTTTCATGTAGGTTCTCTCACCTGAGTGCTTCCTTGACTTCTCATTCAGTGTTACACACTTGACCCATGAAAGCAAATTTTAGGGATTTAAAAAGTATCTTGTCCTTCTAGAAGTCAAATTACTCTCTGGTAGTAATTGCAACGTGGTGTCTCTTTGGGTATTTGAAGCCCTGGTGATTTATTCCCGTTGCTTCCGTGCTTACCTGCCTGCCTGCCTGCCGTTGCCTCTCTCAGTATCAGTTCTTCTATGGACCCTTGAACAAACAGCGTTTATTCTTACTGCATCCTCCCCAGCTTTCCTCTTTTAATGATGCTGACTCAGTGGAATCTGTTGTGAGCTGTGATAGCACGGAACCTTTCTTTAGTAAATACATCTTTCAATTTAGATATAACTGACCGTGTGATCTATCATGATGGGCTGCCAACCAGGTAAAGGCTTTTGACTCTAAGTCTCATGACCCAGGTGTTTGACCCCTGGAACCCTCAAGATGGAAGGTAAAACTAGCTCCCAGAAGTTGCCCTCTGATGTCTACTTGCACATGTGTACAGGCATACACAAACACACAATAAATCAGTGTCATTTAAAATAGAGAATGAAAACATTGATACACAAAGATGGAATGTTTTCACCTGCATCTAACATTACTTAGTAGTTTCTGAAATACTTGATGATTACTAACCATTTGACAACACTGAGAGATATTGTTACGTATAATGGGTTCAATTTTTTTTTCCTGGAAAGTTAATACTTCAGTGTTTCATTTTAGGGAAAGAAGAGAAATTTAATTTTATTTTTAATATTACCCTTTGACAAGAGAAGTTCTCATAGGAAAACATATTCTTAAGATCTAAAATAACACCCACCCCACAAAAGATCTAAAACAATACAGGGAGGAATAATATAATTATCTATAAGATGTACATACATATTTGCTGCTGTTGCAGAGGTCAAAGCTGAAATAGTTTTATTTTCTTAAAGAATTCTGCCTTATTTTTAGAATAATTTGAATATTTGCACATCTTCATTAAATTGCCTTCTGTACATATTCTTGTAAGGAGTGTGTGGTGACACTCTTTTCTGAAAATATCCCTTACATTATAAGAAACAGGAACTTATGCTGGACCAGAGTTAATTATATACCTTGAGGTCACTCAAGACTTAGGACTGCTATCCTACTGTATACGTGCCCTGTTTATTTAACCTGCCTTTAAGAGAACAATGTAAAACTAACCTTACTTGTCTTGGATTTCCCTTGTAATTAGCTTTCACAACCTAAGCCAATGCATAGCTAAAATCTTAAATTATGTTCCTCCAGGCCCAAGCCCAGAACAATGTATGTACATCATTTGCTGAAATCCACAAATTCCAGAACTTGAAAGCAGCATCCTAAATCTAGCATAAAAGTTAAAAGCCACTATGCATGGATATTGGTTGATAATGGTTTTTGTTGTCTTGGTCAGTTGGAGCCTATGACTTAATTCATTTTAAAACTCTATTTAAGATTTATGTAAAGTATCCCATTCATTCCCTGTATGATGCTACCTATGATGATCAGTAGGGACAGACACCAATCATACTTGGACACATCAAAAACACAGGCACAACACACACACACACACACACACACACACACACACACACAGATACGCACAAAGACAGATACAGACAGACACGGGGACAGGAAATACAGATTGATAGGATAGTTTTTAGACAGCTTCAGATTCTGACTCATGCAAGAGACAGGCAGGAGACAGAAGATACAGGTATTGTTAAATAGAGAATTCAAACTTGGACCTGGACAAGTGTACAGGTAACAGATAAAATGGATGAACTTACTATGTATGTATGTGAGCATAAGGGTATGTGTGTACTTGTTCATACATGTGTGTGCAGATGCCTGTGGAAGCCAGAGGTCAGCATCCTGTGTCCTTCATTACTATTCACCTCTTTTTTTTTTTTTTTGGATCTGTAACTGACCTTGAAGCTCCCTCAGTGGGCCAGTCCTTCAGGTCAATGTTCTTCTGTCTCTATGTCTTCAGCACTGGGATAATAGGCACTGGTTGACATATATATATATATATATATATGAGTGGTGGAGATCTGAACTCAGTTCCCTAGGCTTGCCTAGCAAGCACTTTACTAACTCCTCAGCCCCTGGATGTCTTTCTCTTTTGCTTGAAGGGGATGATTTGGTCTTCACTGTCATTCAAGTCTCTTCTGAGGACATGGCCAAGAACAATTTGCTTCCCATTCCTGGGGCTCTGGGTTCTATCTCTTATATATTAAGTTCCTGATTAGAAAAACAAGACTAAAAAGTTCTGCCTGCTGGTAACTGAAGGGTATCTGCCCTGACTGTGACTTTTGTCATTACCTGCAGGATGGTTGATACACAGGGGATAAGGTGCTGCCGTTGGAGGTGGAAGCTGAGGACCCTTCTGCTCCCATTTGCTTTATGGATTATGTGTGTCCCCTGCTCAGGTAAGACTCTAGTCAGAACCAGACTAGCAATGATTTCACTCTGTTTTTTGGAAAGGTGCAGCTTATTGAAATGACCTTAATGTTCATCGTTTCCATTCCCCTCCACCTCATTTCCATGCTTCTGGGCTTTGCTTGGGTCTCTGGTCTCCATCTTATCCCTGTTCTCTGTGAATTCTATCACTGCCATCATTGTTTTTGTTTCCTGATGAGTTTTTTTGTTGTTTTTTAAATCTTAGCCATCTTCCTTCTCATTATATTTGTTTATTTAGCCCACAGTGAGTGACGAGTTAACCACATAATGGACAGGGAGAAAACACTGGCTGTTTCTTCTGTTGAATAAATATACTGCACTTGTTTCCCCTTCCAAGTTTTCATATCGTCATTTAAGAAAAATGCAAACTTTGCCATTTTTACCAATCCTGAGTTGATTAACTGCTTTCAATATGGACTTTGTAATTTTCAATGATGGAATTTGCCATGATGCTTTTTAGCTCACAGTTTATTTAGGCTATTTATTTATTTATTTATCTGGTATGGAAAAAATGATTTTATTTGCAGTTTTTAAAAATAATTAAAACATTTATTTTCTTATAATTGAAGTTTTTCCTAATCTTTGAAATAGGATTCTCTGGTTGTTGAAGATAATTTTCTACAAATTGTTGCATTAGTAAACCACCTAGACTATGCCATGTGACTAATGTTTTAAAGGAAAATCATGTTATTGGGTATACTGTTATAAATGATATATTTAAGGCACCTTTGAAGTAGATTATTCACCAAAATTGCTTACTCATGAACCAACACACTCAACTTCTTCTCAGTATATAAAGGCTGTTTTCCAAGTAACCATGTGTTTTTAAGCCTTTTCATCTACTTGTTTGGAAAATCCCTGGCATTTTTTTTTTAAATTTTCAAAACAGAACTGATTTTTGGGTGCATTCTTGCGTGTGTTCGCTAGAATATCTGTGTAAAGTCAGTCTTTCTCTTCCTTAGTCATCGCCAAAAGAAAGCACATTTAAAGGGATCTGAAAGTAAGACAGAGATGGAATTTCTGTGATGTATAGTGCTGAACTATTTCTTAACCTTCAAAGTGGTTTTTCAAGAACCAGTTGGATGATGTAAGATAAATTATGAGGTGAAAATTAGTTGAGGTCTGTTTACTTTCGTTTCTGTGAGGTCATGCGTTTGTAAACTTTCAACATTTCTGCAAACCAGCGTACCTCAAATTGGGCTTTTGTATTTTACATGTCATAGTTTTAACTGACGTATACACATTCCTGAAGCTTGGTCTCTTGAATAAGTAAAAGGAAACATATACTTTGAAGTAAATTGAAATAAGTCATCCAGGCTGGCTGGGCTGGGATGAGAAAAGCCTAGAGGGTACAGGCTGTTTGGAGGCACCCACATCTGAAACAAGCAATCTGAAGTTTATTCGAAGTTCTTCTATGACTGCAAGTATCTATTCTTTTATCAAGTATCTCTATTGACTTGCTCCCAGAGTGCATCAAATACGGTTTCTTTGCATGGAGGGTTTTGTGTTTGCTTTTCTCTACCCTTCTCTCTCGTAATGTGCCACAACTTCACACACAAATGCCTGAACTCCCCACAGGCTTTAGAGGTTATTAGAGACATTTGGATATAAAATTCCTGCCTTTTGTACTAACTCAGCAGTGGTGTGCCTTAAAAGGAATTCAGAGACATTTAAAATGATTCAGATTACAACTTTAGAGAAACTTAGTTTTCAATCTTGCCATTCGCAGAAGTCAGCTTCACACTGTATTTAAAGAGAATATTTAGTGCTTAACTCTAATGTTCCCTATGTGCACATTCCAGCCTTCCTGCCTTTGCTTATGACTAGATCATCTCAGGTTCAGGGTTGTTTATAATGGCAGCTTGATGCTAATGTTTCCTAAATCCTCATCTTCAGTCCGTAATCCTAGAGCCACTTGTGTGGTTGTTGATGGCTTCTCCTTAGATTTAGAATACCTCTCAGATTTCACATAGATGATTTCCAGTCCCCCCACAAAGTTCCATGTCTATTTCCTTGTCAGCCTCTACAATATACCACACTACCCTAAGTTCTCTCAACGCTCTGTTTCTTAGACACACATCTATTCTTTGACTTCACCTTCTTTCCTCAGTCCCCATGTTCTAAGAATATACCTGCTTCTTTTTATGCTCTTGTCTGTGTAAATGTTCCTCTTTCACCGTGGTTCTCAACCTTCCTTGATGCGGGGTTCCCCTCTGTATGCTGTGAATATCATTGGTTAATAAAGAAGCTGTCTTGGGCCTGCACAGGCAGAATACAGAGAGCTAGGCCTGGGGGAGGGGAACTAAACTGAAGCTGGAAGAAAGATGGCGGAGCCAAGGAGATGCCACTTAGCAGCCACAAGGGGCAGAAGAGCCAGAACCTTACTGGTAAGCCACAGCCATGTGGCAATACATAGTTTAATCAAAATGGGTTAAATTAATATGTAAGAGCTAGCCAATAAAAAAGCTAGAGCTAATAGGCTGAGCAGTGATTTAATTAATAAAATTTCTGTGTGGTTATTTTGAGTCTGGGCAGCCGGGAACGAACAAGCAGGCTCCTACAATACTTCCTCATGCTCCAAACTTTTAATGTAGTTCCTCATGTTGTGGTTACCCCCAAACCATAAAATTATTTCATTGCTACTTTATAGCTGTAATTTTACTACTGTTAGGAACTGTAATGTAAATATCTGTATTTTTCAATAGGCTTAGGTGATATTTATAAAAGGGTCATTGGACCCACCAATGGGTTTGTGGTCCACAGGATGGGAGCCACTGCTCTATCAGATGATACCTTCCCAACTCAAAATTCAGAGTATCCCCATTCTCATTCTTCTCTATTACTCTTAATAATAATATATTCCTATTGGAATCTTTTCATTGCAAATGTTTCTCTGGTTTGATTGTAATAGCGAGGGTGGATGATTGACAGATCTTTTTAGACTATTAAAAGTGACAGTTTAGATGATTAATGTTAAACTCTTGTAGTTTATTTCTAGTGACTATATAACAGAAAGGCGATGTCAAGAGTCCTAGTAGGTAGGTTAGTAATGTGTTTTCATGGAAAAAGTAATTATTGAAAGTAATATATGAAAAGCAACTCATTCTCTCTTGACTAGTGATGAATGTAACTTTGATAAGAACTGCGACATAACTGGTAGCACATAAATGAAAATTCAAACAACAAATGAATTTTTTACATACTAGCTTACCAACATTTAAAATATTTGACAATATCCAGCAAAATTGAAGGTGTTGAGAAAACAACATCATTAGTACCTTTCCATAAAAGTGACTGAAAAATATGTTATAAAACTAGAGAAGGTATATGCTATCTTTGGATGCCGCTTCTACATGTAGATGTTTGTCCTATAAAAAAAAATAAGAAGCATGTGTGAATATATGTGTTAGTGGGCTAATTTAATAACATACAATTGAAAAATGCTAATTGTTCATCAGCAAGGAAATGGTTATATGAATTATTTTAACATTCATACAATGAAATACTGCATAGCTTTTTAAAACAATGAGGCAAAACTATGCATATTTGCTTACTATGATGGCTTGTCTAAGATAAAAATGGGTAATTAGAAATCAGATTATAGAGGAATATGAAATTATCCCACATTCTAATGGGTCCCATTATAGAACTGAAGCATTTTATATCTGTATGCTTGTATGACTTCATAAACATAATCAAACATGAAGCAAAGTACACCAAGCTTTCAAAATGAGTACTCTCCTGGGGAAAGGAAAAGACAGTGATAATTTATATACTTGTGCATTAAAAGATAATTAAGCCTTTTTTGTATGTGGTAGGAGAAAGGCATATAGGAAGCAAAGGCTACCTTGTGAGAATCTGCCCTCGCCTTCCACTGTGTGGGTCTTGGGGGTAGAATGCATGTTACTAGGCTTGACCAAATGCCTTTACTCTGGAAAGCATCTCACTGTCTCAGATTTGACTTTACAGTGAGCTTGCATAATTATTCAATTTGAAGAAAACTTAATGAATTTTGGTTGTTTTACATTTTTTAAAGAGCCACACAAAAATGGGTCAGAGTGACTGCTTCAGACCATGACTAATCTCCCGAGTTACTTAACTGTTACTCTTTCTTCACTTGAAGATTCTTAGAAATGCTCCAGATAATGACTTCTCTTTATGCATGATGCTCTATGACTCTGAAGATAAATAATGATACAAGAGCAGGCAGAAATTATGGCTTCAAGTAGAATACGGAACAAACAGCTATAAGCCAATGAATTCCTAAGCAACCAAAAGCCAGTTTCCACACAGATAGACTTAGTCATGAGCACTGAGGAAGGCCCCTCCCTCCTCCCCTGAAAACCAGTGGCATCAGCAGGTTGGTGTCTGACACCCAAGAAACCTCATCTACAGAAAGGAGAAGTAATTATGAAAGTAAATTCGGCCCCAAATTCTGGGTACTTTCTGTCCAAGTGTGAAACATAGTTCTATCAGGCAGATGATCAGACAAATGGCAAAATGTGTGCTTTCTGTTATTGCTTGAGTGTTAATGTTTTCATGATCACAGAATGAGCGAGTGCAATCTAGTATCTATTGCAGTGAAGTCTGCGTTTATAGGAAAATGATACTGTACATATTTTAAGATTTGATCCAAAATGTCCAGAGAAATAATCTTTATGAATCTGTCAAAATCAAAGCCATTTTAGTCTTAACGTATACGTAGAGTGACAAAATGCTTTTGCAGGCACTGATACGTATGTTGAAGTGCACACATGTTTCAGCAAGGTGCTCTGATTTTCTCTTAGACCAAAGCACTAAAAGGACCATTTTCCCACGCCAGACCTCAGGTGAAAAGAGCCGGTGTGATTGGACAAATAAAGCCTAGAAAGTGGAGTCTGATGAAATCAAAAAGGAAACCCTACCGAAAAGATTGCAAAGTCATTTACTTCAAAATGCAATGGGTGTGACTTATTTCTTACCGTGGTGT